AACTTAGCTGAGACAAAATATAACATTTTATTAGCATTATTAACTTCAGAGGGATACAACAAAGTGTTATTAATCACCTTCTCATCCCCCTCTCTGATTTTAAGCCAGTCCTACTGAGACAAACGGACATTAGAGGCGGTCTCCTACACAGGACTCCCTCTCTTTGTGTTTTAGCAGCTTACTGTAACTTACCCCGTTAGCAGCCTATTTTTTTATTTTTATTTTTTACAGTTCTGGATTTAATCGTCAAAATTTTATCATCCAAGATGAGGTTCAAGCGGAACGGTTCGTACACATTAAATAGGTAAGCACTCCAAATATATATGTCCATTCATTGATTCGAAAAACAAACTTGACCGTATTAAACTTTTCTGGTGAAATGTCGGAATTCACTTTGTTTCTGAATGCGCGTTTGCGTTCAGATTCCATTGTTCCATTCCGCTTAAACCACATGTGAGTCGCTATCGTAAGGTCACGTCGGGCGGTCGGATAATCGGAGATCCTACTACACTGTTTGAAAACGATTTCAGTTCACAATATTCTAACAAACGCCAATGTTTTCTGAAGCGGCGATGTAAAAATGCACAGCAGAAGCCTGGCGCAAACGAATTGTGTATCGCTGTTTAAGTTTTACAACTTGTTCTGGGGTTTAAATGTTCTCTGTCTTTAAACGATTTATTCATTAATGGGTTTGATTTTGTAGAACAAACCAGTAAACCTGTAAATCCGCTTTTAGGAGGGTGGGTGTTTCATTTCCATTGAGTGAGCCGAAACAAACGCATAGCATCATCCATTCCCACTGCCTCCCCGCAACTGTTTTTCACTGGATTCAGTGAAACTAGCGTTTAAGCTTTGAGTGACCAGTCCATTCATAAGCAGATCATTAGAACACAAGACACATGCACTTTCTCTGTTCTTTGTTATCTGGCATGCTTTCCTTCTCCTTTTGAGGCTAAAACACACAGGCTAAGTTGTGGCTTTTCATTTATGCTTTTATGTTAGGATAAATTAGTAAATGTTCTTCTTTCCTGGAAAAGTGTACAACAAGCAGTTGTACTCTCTGCATCTTTCTCATCACAAAGGAAAGGTTCCTATCAACTCAGCTCCTTGTAATCATTCAGTGCTGCTAAGGATAACGTCATCGAGTCTGGGACATGGTCACTGTGTGTACTGCTTTGATAATGCAGAGAGAGCAAAGATTTAAGGCTTGTGTTCCTCTTGGTGCTTTTTGATTGACATATTTGGTGATGTAATCTTTTTCAGTGGTTAGTTAATTGATAACCTTTATGCATATTCACATATATACAAAAACATAACAGAGAGAGTTTGTCTGGCGTTGGCGCTGATCTACTGTAGCCCATTGTGTTCTGTGTGCATGTACACATACATTAACCGGACATTAATAATAAAATGTGTGTGTGTTTTTCACCACACAGAAGCATTTTTCCATGTTGTTTAATATTTTCTGACTATGTAGAACATGTAATGGTTGGTTTAATAAAGGGCTAAATTTAAACCATTCACTGAAGAAGAACCACTCAGAATGTTGGTTTATTATGGTAAATGGAGGAACAAGGTAATGACAGTGCTGTCATGGATGTATATTTACTGATAATGGTGATGTTGTGAGATATTCACACAGATATTTTCAGACCACTTGTTTCAAGTTTGCATGCTTGTAACACAAGATGTTTTAAAGACTATAAATATAATTTGACTTCTTGGCTTCTGCCAAACTGTTCAAGTGTTATCCTTATTTTAATTATCCTAGCTGTGTGGTTCAATTCCAGTTATATTGGGATCTCAATGTGGTTTCATGAGCAAATTGATAATGTGTACACTTATAACTGATAATGTGTCACAATAAAAATTTGGGTCACATTGATTGTATACAATAAAATTATTAGCTACACATGTAGTATATTCTTAAATGTTTGCAAAGTGAACCATGTTTAGTTTATGACCGCATCGCAATAACTGAACCCTATTGACCTTATTCTTCACGTATGAGTCAGCGCAACCATTGGAATCTTTTTGTCTTGAGACTTTTGTTCTTATTCACTTATATATATTTTTAGTCAATAAAAACAGCTTGTTCTGCTGCTTGATGTTGAGAACTGATATTTTCTTATTGCATTAGTCTACTTTTTATGTATAGTTTTGGAAACGTGTTTCTGCACATTCGCATGGCAGAATAGGTTGTTTTCAATCATGTGGTTCTTGTGATGAGCAAAATTCAGATGGAGGGCAGGAAGTAAAAAACTAAATGGGAAGCATAGAGGAAAGTCTGTATTTTTGCAATTTATAATATATCAAAGAAGAAATAAATGGAAAATACCCACATTTTTTGCATGCTTATCATGAAGAAGGCCTAGTTTTTTACTGAACTATGTCTGTCATTGAGGCGGTAGATACTATGTAAGCGATTACATTACATAAAAAAAAAACTATCGTGATTTAAAGCATACTATAGATAACTACTTAAATTAAACTGTCATAGTAAATAAATTATTGCTCTGTAATTGTAAGACACAACTGTAATAATAAACAAATTATTTAGTAGATTTCAGTTTTCTACGCTATCACATTGCATCACACTAACATTACAGTATTTATTACAGTTTATCAGTTTACTATGCTGCAGTATTCTGCAGCATTTATTGACAAAGAGTTGTACATTTATACACTTTACTATGTTTTAAAAACATTAATTCATTCATTTATTTTGTTGTCGACTTATTCCCTTTATTAATCCGGGGTCGCCACAGCGGAATGAACCGCCAACTTATCTAGCAAGTTTTTACGCAGCGGATGCCCTTCCAGCCGCAACCCATCTCTGGGAAATGGTTAAAAACATGTTTATTATAAATAACTATAGTTTTTTTTCCGATATATTCCAGACATCACAAAATAACAAATGAAAGCATACAAAAGCCTGGATTATTATTTATTTATTTTTGTAAGGGGAATAATAAGTGCTCCACAATAATAACTGTCTAGTTTTGTTGCAAGAGTTGCATTTATTTTTTATTTTGTTAATGAACTTACTATCAACAAACATTCAGCGCTGCCGCGCATCTCTATGTTCACGTTACGATTGTTTATTTTGCTGAAACACCAGGGGTCTGTTCTTCATACGTGGATTACTCAATTAGCTGGATTAGGTTATTGACGATTTTACACGATCCAGGATTGTTTCGTTCTTCAAAACTGATCCGAGAGTTGTTGTCATAGTAACAGTTCTGGTAGCTCAAACCTGCTCGGGAGCAGGTTTATTTCATATAAATAGGATTAGATCGGCTTATTTCAAGCAAAGGTAATACTGAAAGTATGTACCAAATGCTGATATTTTCTTACAGTAGTAACCTATAGATTATGTACACTTGTTAAAATAGTAAAAAAAAAAAAATTATATATACACATTTATAACTTATAAAAATGTATATTATCTAATATTAAATAATTAATATATAATTATATATATATATATATATATATCTATATACTTATGCAATTTCCACTCAAAAACGGAGTGGTTCTTCCCAAGGGGATCAAAGAGAACATTTATTAATATGGATTTTTAGACTGAAATGTGTTCTATTTTAAGGTATTGATCCAGCTTTAGTACAATTTCTGTATGATAATAGACATGCACAATATTCGACTATATTCGATCAATATTTTTTGTGTGTGTGTTTTTTTTATTTTTTTTTATAACAGAATAATAATCTATGCAGTCATGCACATGTTTTGAAAGCTAATATGCCGGTGATTTGATGCTTTGCAAAAGTTGCAGACATCTTAGATAAAGTCAAAATGCTTTTTTGATGCAAAAACAATTTAAATTCCCTACGTCGATTAAGAAATTAAAATAGGCCTAGGCTACTATAATAAAGAATATCAGATCTAAAATGTAAAGCTAAATTTATAAATACTCTTGACACATGAAAGTGTAAAACCTGCAACCCACAACAAATGTTTAAAGGTATTGCGTTTTATAATTGACAAAAAGTTTACTACGAATTTTCTATAATTTTGCTCACATGGATAATTGAATATTAATCAGATGATGTCATTACGCTGCAGCCAATAGTTGCATTGCTGATCATGATTTTAAGGATAGATAGATCAGTCCTCCACAACACATGCAGAGATCTCAGATCAGTTCATCCAGACGTTTTTATATATATGTATAGTTGAAGTCAGAATTATTAGCCCCCCTTTGAATTTTTTTTCTTTTTTTAATATTTACCAAAGGATGTTTAACAGAGCAAGGAAATATTCAGAGTATGTCTGATAATATTTTTTTCTTCTGGAGAAAGTCTTGTATGTTTGATTTCAGCTAGAATAAAAGCTGTTTTTTTAATTTTTTAAAAACTGTTTTAAGGTCAAATTTATTAGCCCCTTTAGGCTATTTTTGTTTTTCGATAGTCCACAGAACAATCCATCATTATACAATAACTTGCCTAATTACACTGACATCCCTAGTTACCCTAATCAACCTAGTTAAGTCTTTTAATGTCAGAAGAGGCTTTAAAATATATATATAGTATAATATTATTTACTGTTATCATGGCAAAGATAAAATAAATCAATTATTAGAAATGGGTTAATAAAACTATTATGTTTAGAAATGTGTTGAAAAAAAATCTTCTCTCTGTTAAACAGAAATTAAGGAAAAAATTAACAGGGGAGCTAATAATTTAGGGGGATAATAATTCTGACTTCAACTGTATATATAATATATATGCCAAGTATGTTCTTTGAGAGTGAAGAAAGCACTCATGGAAGAAGTAATTTTCCTAAAGGCCCCATTTTGAAAGGGCTGTTTGGGCCCTTAAATATTTCTGGCTCAGAATATTTCTGCAGTGGGCCGTCATCACTTTGCAGCAAGTCTATTTGCCAACCCAACACTCCCGCCTCAAAGTCAGAGCCAACAGGAGAGAGAGACAGGGAGGAAAGAGAGAGAGAGGCAAGTTGGGAGGGGGAAAACAGAGGGTATCATTAGAGGGAAGCACACAAGTGCAGAGTGACTGAGCGCACTGTGCTTGCCTGCTGCAGACGCTTGTGTTTGTTTGCTGACTGAAGTGTTGTTCTGTCTGCGCCGCGCCAAGGGATATCACCACCTAACAAAGCGCCGACTGTGCTGTCCAGCAGCTGAAAACAGAGCGGGAAACCAGAGGAGGCACAGAAGTGTTAGGAGAAACAATTCGCTGCAGATCTATGAAGATGCAATGCCAAGAGTTCACGCTCTAACGGATGCCAGTCAGCTGTAGTTCATCTTAAAGCCAGTGCAACAGAGGACGGGACAATCTGATTGCCAGCTTCGCAAGCTGCATGGGGGTTCTAGTGTGTTGTGACTGCTTCTTTTACAGGTACTCGTTTTGGGATTTTTTATATCCTCCTCTGCTGCATTACATGTAAAGAGAAAGCTTCTGCTGTGCCAGGTTATGCAGAAAGGAAGCATTAGGTTATATGACAAGTTAAAGGGACGGTAAGAAAGTTCAAAATCAGTGCTGCTCATGATATTTTGTGGTGAGTGTGGATGTGGGGAGGCTGCAGACCAATGTTGGTTGGGACACTGTGTTCCCAGTTTTGCTTTTTCCCCTACTGCTTAGGACAGACTTTGCCCTCTTCAATGTTAGTTTCGACCTCTACTTCGATTTGGAAAGTTAAGCAAGGGGGGCTGTTTGAAAGCTAGCGAATATCAACAGAGCAGTGTATGATTTTCACATGGAAGGCTTGAATCATGACGTTTCATTTTTTTATTATTATTTTTTATTTTTTACTGTGATTAGAACTATACACTGTAAAAATGCTGGGTTCCGCACAATTCCTTCATGTTGTCCCAACTCAAATTAAGTTAATTTAATTGATTTTGCAAATTTAAGTAGGCTGAACATAAACCAACTAAGGTGTCCAGAAAACCTCCAGAATTGTGTTGTTTCAACTCATTTTAAATGAGTTTAAACAGGCAGCAAAAGTCATTTTGGTGCAGGATTTTCAAGGATTTTGGCCAATGTGATAAAAGCCCTAGTATTTGATAGTTATTGTTTTTTTTTTAAAGCTTTCTGATCTATCAGTCCTTTGTTTTATTCTCTTGTTGTTTTCGTCTACTTTTAGACATTTGCGTTGGTTCACAGTCAATGTTTACGTTTGGCAGACTGGAAAACAATCAAGCTCTGCCTAATCTGCCAGCGTGTTTTGTCCTCTGTTGCTGAAATGTTATTGGCTCTTCGGTGTGGAAGAAGTTTGCAGTGTGGTATCCAAACTCGGCTGTTTTGATTTATAACATTACCATCAGGTGGTGTTGTTTAGTCTTTTGCTTTGTTTCCAGTCACAACTGTCCTTGGGGATGTTGGTTTTTTAAGACAGACCTGCTTTCTGTAGCGTCTTATGTTTAGATAACTTATAATGTACAAGTTGTTATACTCGAGTAACAGTTACTATGCTGCTAAATTGAATGCGGGTGGATGGAAATTGCTCCAAGAAATGTGACCAAGCCAAGACTTGGATGAATGGAAAATATGTCCTTGCAAAGTTCATGCTCCGTCAAATACATTGTTGCTAATAGGGATGAACAATAAGACAACATCATAGGAACAAAATAAAAAGTATATTATGCTCAAAGAACTTGCTCAAACTACCTAATTAAAATGAGCTGAAACACAATTTTTGAGATTTTCTTGGGGACAACTTATTGTTCAATCCACTTCATTTTGTTAAGTTAACTTAATTGATTTGTGTTGAGACAACATGAGTAAACTGTGTGGAACCCTGCATTTTTTAGTGTACACTGAAAAAAAAAAGATGTCTGCAAAATTGTTACAAACTATTTAAATGTGTTGCATTTAAACAAACAAATAAGTTTGGTAATGTTCAACTTAATTTGTTTGTTTAAATTCAGCCCCTTATAAATTGTTTACTATCTGTTAACTTAACAAAATGAGTAAATCCAAGGAGTCATCTTTGAATAATTTTTGTCAGTGTATACTATTAGTCTGTTATGCTAAATCATTTATTTCATGGTGTCACAAATTACATCGTTTACGGTAATACGTCTTCATAATTTACATGGGCGCAGTGTTACATGCCATTATGGGGATGCAGACATAAACATGAATAATAGCATCATGAGAAAGTTGCAGTCTTGAATGTAGAATGGTTACATTTAGCATATTATTTAGCAATGCTTATTTTTATGTTAGACCAGTAGTCATCAATCATTTTTCTGTCATCAATCATTTTTTGTTTAAACTACGTGTTTAAAATGAGTTGAAACAACACAATTCTTAAGGTTTTTGGAGGGATAACTTAATTGTTTTATGTTCGATCCACTTAAATTTGTAAAAACTATTAAGGTAACCTAATCAATTTGTGTTGGGACAACATAAAGGAATTGTGGAACCCAGGATTTTTTACAGTGTTTTAAATAAAATGATAAATATCAAATATAGTCACAAATGAAAGTAAATCTGAGTATATACTTTAAAATGAAAAAACATTTCTTTACATATGATCAATATATACAGTTAAGTCCATAAATATTTGGACATCAACACAGTTCTATTATTTTTGGCTCTATACACCTACACAATAACACAGTAACAGATTCCAAATGCAAATAGCACACTTTAAATGAGGGAACAAAACACACCTGGCCATGGAGCAGCTTAGAAGCCTATTGTCCAATTACTTTTGGACTCTTAACTAGTGGGAGGCACATTTGCAAACTGTTGTAATTGCTACACTGTTTACCTGATTTGTATATAATTACCCTCAAAATAAAGCTGATTGTCTGCATTTAAAGCACATCTTGTTCATTTCAATTCAAATCAAGTGTGTTTCTGTATAGAGCCAAAAATGATGGAATTGGGTCGATTTCTAGTATATCTGTACTATATACTGGACTATACTGTACTATATTGTGATTTGTCATATATATGTCAGTATATGAGATGACTTATGAGATTGTGATGCATGAGATTTTTGTTATATTGCCTAGCCCTAGTTTCTAAACCTATTTAGGTGATGTCCAGATCTCAAAATCTGTAATCACAGCCTGTTTGGGATTGTGTAAACATATTTGAATTGGCGCAGATTTCCGTTCTAGGCTGCCTAAAATGTGGCATAATATATTTTTTTTTCATTGAAGTGATTTGTTAAAGGAGTGCAAGTAGTTTAAAAATATTTCCACACTGTTTTTAGAGTGTACAGTGTTATCTGCTAAGCCATCTGACTGGGGCGTCTATTTAATCTGATGTGCTTTAATTGGCCTGTGTCAGCCAACGGTTCCTTACTGTCTGCATTCTTCTCTAGCTTTGGGCCAATCTCCTGTGACAATCAAGTCCTGGGGTAGAAAAAGCCAAGGCTTTTAAAAGCTGAGGTCCAAGTTCATGATCTTTTGAAGTGTCATTTGAATACAAGTACAATTTTAAGGAACAAATTGCATTTTTCATGTGCTATAGACCATTTCATGTCATTGGCCCATGATCATTTCGTGCTTGTTATCAAACTATTTCATAGATGTAACTAGAGCCAATTCAATCATAATGCTTTGGGACCAACCTTTGTTTTTGTTTACATCCCTCAAAATGGTCTATATTATAAAGAAGCTTAAAGGAATACTTCTTTCAAAAATGAAAAATGCTCACAATTCTTGAACCCTGGAGTGCTTCCAGACCTTTATGGATTTCTTTATTCTTTTGAACACTAAATAATACAGTTTAAAGAAAGCTAAAAACCTGTATCAGTGACTATGTTTACATGGACATCTGTAATAAATTATTTGCCTTAATCTGAATGAGACAATAATATGATAAAGGTGTTTACATGAGTTGAATGTTCCTTTCGTGATCCCATTTTACATGTTATAGCACATAATTCTATTAATGTTGTTGCGTTACCACGCTATCCACATTTCCTAAAGGTGTTTTATTTTTAATTTGTCGATTTTAACCGCATTTCGCCACTTTCCCTTTCATTCAGAAACATTTCATGCATGACCCCATGACAAACGAGACTTTGGATATGAGTATGAATGCTGGAAGAGTTTTGTTTTAATGGAATTTGATACTACATGCCGTATGGAAAAAAAAAACTGCATTTCGCGATGCAGATGTCTGGAGAATGCGGTAATACCGCAATAATAGTTTGATTAGGGTCTTTACATATCTGTGCTTTAATAATGTGATTAGATTTTTTATTTGATTTCTGTTTTGTTTGATTATGACCTTAATCAGATTGAATTAAATCAAAATTGCTGTTTACATGGTAGACTCTTAATCAGAGTATTATCTTTGTCATAATAAAATCGGATTATTGGTGTCCATGTAAATGTACTCATTGACTACCATGGTAAGAAAAACAAATACTGGGATTCAATGATCAAGGGTTTCCAGCTTTCTTCAAAATATCTTTTTAATTTGTTTAACTGAAGAAACAGAGTCAAACTGGTTTGGAACAAGTAAAGGATAATAGAATTTTCAGGTTTGAGCAAACCATGCCTTTAATAAAGAAGGTTTACACTTTACATTTCAATTGTATTCCATATAATAAAGTAAACATTTATTTTTTTCAGTCATTCTCATCTTATTTGTTAAGCCAGGTTTCAGTTTATTGTCTTACAACTGAACTAGACCAAACGATTGTATATATTACATTTTAAAGTTGATATGTTTCGTCTAAATCTTATTTAAATTTGAATAAAGTTGAACAATTATTATATATTCATCATATCAGCCACACTCACAACAAACATTCTAGATTGCTCTTGAACACAACTGTACATCTTGTTTACAATTTAATCCACCTTAGCATGTTCTGAAAGAGATTTACCCTAATTAGATACTACCCTAATTCGTAGTTTGTTGTCATCAATGGAATAATGTTGTTGTATTTTCTGTAGCCCCTTTAGATCTCACAATTCCCCACTGTCTCTCCACCCCCCATCCGTCTCTTGTGTGAGAATTACGTAAGTGCCTCCTCCTCCTGTGATAGATCGGGTTGCAGTGATGCTTCTGTCGCTCTGCCTCAGCATCCCGAGCTGCAGCGCGAGCACCTGATAATGCCAGCTCAGCATCAGCACCCAAGGTCACTCCATTCATTCCCACCTCCGGTCCAGACTCAGCAAACATCAAAGCTGTTTGACACTTAATTACATCAGCAAAGGATAAATGAATGCTTAAGAGGTGTTCACCCCTCCCAATACACATTTAATTACCTGAGATGGGTTGTTCGTTCTTGACAGACGTGCCCTCTTTCATTTTTTTTTATTTCTCTGTGATTCATTTTGTTCAAATTGAGGGAGATTACCTCAAGACCATCACCACTGAAGTCCTCACCGCTTCTGTAGCTTGATAATGGTCTTATAACT